CCCACCTTGATTTTCATACACATTGTAAGGAGAGTGGTCACTTTGGATAAGCTATTACCAGCAGGAGAGTGAGTTTGTGTGTGTGGTTTTTGGAAAAAGGGGAGGGGGATGAGAAAACCTGGATTTGTGCTGGAAATGGCCCACCTTGATTATCATACACATTGTAAAGAGAGTGGTCACTTTGGATGGGCTATTACCAGCAGGAGAAAGAGTTTGTGTGCGGGGGGGTGGAGGGTGAGAAAACCTGGATTTGTGCTGGAAATGGCCCAACTTGATTATCATATACATTGTAAGGAGAGTGATCACTTTAGATAAGCTATTACCAGCAGGAGAGTGGGGTGGGAGGAGGTATTGTTTCATGGTCTCTGTGTATATAATGTCTTCTGCAGTTTCCACAGTATGCATCCGATGAAGTGAGCTGTAGCTCACGAAAGCTTATGCTCAAATAAATTGGTTAGTCTCTAAGGTGCCACAAGTACTCCTTTTCTTTTTGTACTGATGTCTGTTTGGAAACAGTCTGCTTGTGAGGGAATAACCCAAAATGTGGTGCCTTTTGGATCTGCACATGTGCTCTAAACAACTTTGTACCCCATCCTGAGGACATACAGAGCTGCATGGGTGAACCACCCTCAGTTCCTTCTCAACCGCCCTACAACCTGAGGCAGAGTATCTTGTGCGCCTGCTTTCAGCTTAGCTGTAGCTTAGCCGTTCTACTCTAGTTCTGGCATAGTTCTCTTTACTTACTTTAACTTCTATCTGGACAGAACCAAAGCCAAACTGTTTGGAAAGTCTCCCAGACTGATTGTTTTCATTTGCGGACCGAGCCAAAGGACCCACAATTTCCACTCAAAGACTTGGCACTGTGGGTATGTTCTCTCTTGTTATGACGCCACCAGTGTTCAGCTACTGCAAGATGTTCTAAGTTGTTGAAAGCTGCAGAGCTGCAACCTGGGACTCAATTTTCACGCTTCCAGATTGGAGGCTGTGGTTGGCAGTGCAGGTCTGTCTTCAGCGTTAGATCCGACTTCGACGCTCCCTTCTCCTTCTGCGGATACTGCTTGGGAAGGAGGCTGACAGACACTGCTTGAGGAAGGAGGAGAGGTTACTTAATTGTGCAGTAGCTGGTGTTTTTTCAATATATGTATCCCTGTGGGTGTTGCACTACCCACCCTCCTTCGCCTCTGCTTCAGAGTTTTGTCTCACAGGACTTCATGGTAGAGAAGGAACTGAGGGTGGTTCACCTCCACAGTCCTATATATCCTCACTGTGGGGCATGAGGATGTCTGAGCGCATGCGTGGGCAGAACAGGCACTGCTATCAGAAATCTCCAATCAAAGGTGCCATGGAGTGCCCGCACACCTGAAATGGAGCATCCATAGGGATACCACTCGAAGGACCGTAGTTATGGCACATGGTATTTAACCTCTCCTGCTATAAACCTTCAGGTGTTAAAACCTCATTAAAATATTTTTCTTGATAAACATGTTTTGTTTGTGCGTTTTGATGAGGGTCCCATGTGTCATTGTGATACGGGTGTTATGCCATGATCCGCTGTACCATTGTTTCTGTGCAGTTGTAAATACCTAAATAGCACTGAGGCTGAGCTGTAATTGTTTGAGGGGTTTTTTAAAAGAAAAGACCAAAACCACATTCATTTCCATTTCAAATGTTCAGTTATAAAGAAGAGCTGAAGATCTGGATCCTGTGGTTCAGCTTTCACAAAAGCTGATATTAATATTCTCTAAAACAGAGAAGGATGTACGCAAAGTATTCCCTGCTGTGCTTCTGCCATTTTGGTGGTAGAAAGGAAAAGTGCCTGATGGGTTGTGTGCACTGTGGAAAGTGGTTAGACAGAGAAGAGGTTAAAAGTAAGATTTGGTCTTTACTAGTGTTTTGATCGCAAAAGATAAATTTCTCCTAGGAAAAGGAGACATGATTGACTGACCCTATGCTTTTTGTGCTTGAACTGGCTTACACTGGCTTACGCTGTAAAGGCTGCATGCACAGCCAGGCCTGGAAAGGCCTTTAGCTGTAGCTTATTAAAAGGATTAGGGTTATACTGGAAAAAAAGGCTTGTGGGAGGGAGAAGCTGCTCTCTTGATTAGGAATGACCTGGAATTGGCTGCCCTTAAGCTAAAGAGAAAAGACATTTTTTATCTTTATTTTGCTGCTATGCCAAAGGGAGAAGGTTTTTTGGTTATTTATGCTGCCAAGAGGGAATCCTTTGTTTATTTTTTCACTCCTCTTTGCCACAAAGCAGACCCAGGGCTATTGTTTCTTGAGCCTGCCATTTGGGAGCCTCTTTGTAGCTCCCTACCAGTGTGGAGGAAAGAGAAGGGGCTATTTGGCCCCAGCTGAGGACAGAATGGGGCCTTCCTGCTAAGAGGGGAATCCCGAATCTGTGTTACCTGCCTGAAGGAAGAAAAGAATCTGTGTGTTTTAACCACATTTATTTTTGGTATTTTATTTTTCTTCAAGGGTGTAGGGACCCAGTCACACCTTGGCTGATGGAGACAGAAAGATACATTAAAAGGTTTTATCTCCTGTAATGCACCTCATTCTTCAAAACAGTGGAAAGGAAGCTGGAATGTCAAAAAGGCCCCCTTTCTCACATATCACCACAGTTTCTCTATTTAAGGACTTGATCCTGCACCCATTGAGGGCAATGGCAGCAGTATGAGGCCCCTCATAAAAAAAGGGTCTGTTTTGGGTGGCAAGAAACACCCTCTGTTTCCAGAGGTTAGCAACCTCAGTCTGTTTGAGTCAACTTCCAGGGGAGCTACAGAAATTACATTTGTAAGAGGGAGATTAGAAAAACCGAGAGGGAAAAATCACAATAAGAACTTGTTTGACATGCAAAAAAGCACTTTTCCAGTTTTCTTTATTTTCTGCTGGGGAAAGTGTGTGGGTATAGACTGAGCAAGGGGCAGAATTTGCAAAGGCACAAAAGACCATTAGGCGCCCAAGTTCCATTGAAATTCAAGTTCACTTAAGCTGCTTTGAAAATTCGAGCCAAAATGCTTTTCTTGGTTTGAAGCAAAATAGGACTATCAATACCCTGTATACATGGAAATCAGACATGACTGAAGTGGAAAGGATTATTATAAATATATAGAGAGTTACACAATAAACTCAGAAATTCCATCAGGTGGAACTGTAGTGACACCCATATGGTTCATCAGTAGGGCTGGAACCTTTAGATCCACAATAGAGACCTCTGCCACTTGAGGAATAGTATATTGTCATCCTTTGTGAGGCCCAGCCACTAGAGGAAGTTGATTCACTTTGCCTGTTGGCTTCACAGCGATTTGCTGAGGAGAGGTGAGACCCAGGAATCTTGGATTCCATTCCCATTTCTGGAAGGGAGTGTTCTCTAATGGTCATAGACTTTCTTTGCCACTGTTCCTCCACACTTGACCCCTCCTACAGCTGTTCCCTCCAGCCTAACCTGTCCCTTCCTAGTCCTAGCCTCGTCTGTAACTCCTCCTTCCCCCAGCTCCTCGTACAGACCTCTTCACCAAGCCAGTCCCCACTTTTGGGTTCCCCATCTGAGTCTCAGCTTTTCCCCAAAGACTCTTAGTTCCAGTCTCTTCTTCTGGCTTCTTGCTCAGCCATCTTGGCTCCCAGTCCCAGATTCCCTCCTGGGGTTCCTCATCCCAGTCTCCCACAACCCAAGGTTCCTCTTCTGATCCCACTCTTCCCTCCCAACTCCCAGTATCCATCCCCAGTCTTCTTGTTCAGCCAGTCCCAGTATAAAGGCTATACATCACTAACACTCATGTCTGAAGAGGTGCTGAAGCCTTGTATGGGTTCTCTGTACAGGGGTGAATTCCACCCATGTATGCAAATGGGCATGTTGTAATTTCCTAGGTTAGGTTGCTGAAATAGTGGTAACTGCATGTGAAAATGACCAGATACATGTTTAATTTGTCAACTGCGTGCAGTCATGGTAGTTGCTTCCACAAATTATACTCACAGTTGTGCACTTGCAGACTTCTCAAGTTCTTGCTCTGTAAGTCAACTAGCCCATTTTCCAATTAATGGAGGATTGCTCCCTATAGTGTATTCTGCTGTGTTTTATCTAGCACTTAACAGCTTCTGGCTTTTTTCTCTGCTTTTTGGAAGACCTTCATTTTTTGTTGTTAAACTCAGACTTTGCACTGACCCATGAATTTTTCTGAAGCAGGGACTTTACTGTGATCAAAGTAATGACAATTATATCCAAAAGCAAGGTACATTTTTTGTGTGAAAGGATGACACACAAAGCAACAAGTGATTTCTCTTTCACCCATGACAACTGAGACTTGCAGCTTCCTCAAAAAGAAGGGAATGGCTTGATGCTCCTTTGCCTTGTCACTCGAGCTCACCGTCTATGCTGCTTTTACAGCAGACGTGCCACCTGGGAATGTTTTTATTTTTTAGTTGCAGGCCAGCAGTCCATTTTGCCCCATCCCTCTTGTCTTTTTTCCTGCTCATATGTGGGTTCTTTTGTGTATCACACCTTCACTTAAATAACAATTTTCCTTGTTTCTTGGGATTTCTGGATCTTTGTACAAAATGTTTAACTGTTCCTGGAATAGATGAAAGTAGGAGCTGACTGGATTGACTCTTCTATCTGCATGCATCTTTCCTTCTGATTTTGCTTTTCATACCTGATCATAGACCTAAAGGATCCTGTTGTTTCTTAAAGAGGCAGCAGCACTCAATGGGCAATATCACATCTTTGCTGAAAGTTAAACTTATAACCCCCCCAAAAAGTTTGCATCAAAAGTATACCCATAAAGTTGAAAGTAATCTACCTGAACTAATGTCAATCAACTCAACAGTCATAAATCTTGGTAAATTACTATGGCTTTGTAAAGTCAATATTTCATTTAAGGTACATGATTTGATTAAAGCAGAAGTAACATTCTTTAAGAAAAGTCACAGCCACGTACAGTTTTCATAGTCCACTGCAGTTCTAAGATGTATTTTCTCTTGACAGGTACAATGCTGGCTCTGGTCACGCTGATGGAAGTTAATGCTGAAATAGCTGAAAGGTTCATGTCACTTTGTTGTGTGGGGGGAATTGCTTCACAAATCTAGTCACCTGAAGATCTTAGAGCATGCATCTGAAGGTAAATGAATTATAGCTTTTAGCAAGCAGCCTTGTTCTCACGAAACATGATGAACATGAAGCAGAGGAGTAGGGGACAGTTTCAGCTACTAGCTGAATTAACAGCATCTGAATATGGGGACTGGCATAACTAGACACAGAAAAGGCTGATACATGGGTGATTAAAAGCTTGTAGCAGTGGTGACTCAGCCCATTTTGAAAGGCATAATGCTCCCTGAGCATCAAGGAGAGTGTGAGAAGGGGATTCTCTTCCTACATGCATGTAAAGTGAACACTCTGCCCCTCAGCATAGTTGTCCTAATGTTCAGGTGAAAAGACATGGCCCTTGCCTAGAAACACCCCTCCGACTCTCTATGGTTGCCAGGAGTGTTTTACTTGAGATAAACATGTTAGGGGTTTCTATCCAATGGATGCTCACTCATAAGCACATTATTCTTCAAAGTATTAACACAAAGTACATGTGCAGCACCAGGGGACAATATTAAAGATGATTCTGAGAAAGTTGCAGGTGAAATTAAAAAGAATTGGAACTATTTGCACACTGGGACTGACGTTGGCCCAGAATCTGTGTGAGGTTCTTGTGAATTTGCTTCAGTTTCAGGATATTAAGGATCGGTTGTTCCCTTCTGTCCTGATTCACAGTGACTTGGTAATCTTTGGGGCAGCAGCTGAAATTATAATTTAGCACAAAGTGGAGAAAATGGTCTGAAAATATTCATTCAGATTTGAAAGTCAACCAGGTTTGTGACCTCTTGTGTTTGGTTTTTCATATATATTTAAGTGTTCAAGTTTTACTAGGACAAACAGTCCTCAGGGGTGAAATCTGTGTCAGTGCAAAGGGCCAGTATGAGGCCTAGGCATCACCTAAACCTGACTTGCCCCTAGTTTGAGAATTTAAGCAGTGCAGAGGCCTTATGCTGGCCCTCTTAACAGAGGTGTACTTTAAGTCTGAATACCCAAACAGTTACCAACAGCAAATTTTGATTATGTATTTGATAGTAATTTTTCACTTGTTTTTTTGTTGGTTAGTTACATAATTTATCCAATCAGTATCCCAATGACTTAGGTAGCTAAACAGCACAGTGCAGGTGTTGGATATTTACAACACACTCTTCTTGATCACGTTTGTCAAAAACTACAGGAATCACATTCAATAGTGAATAATTTTCATGATTTCTTGATCAGCTTACTGACAGTCTGTGAAATTCCTTGAGTAAATTATTCATTGCTGATTATTCACTCACTCCAGCTAAAACATCTTCCTTCTGTTCATGGATTTGGAAGAGTGTAGTAAGAAAATACTTAGAGCCAAGTGAATTAGCTCATGCTCATCTAATATCTGCAGTTCCAAATTCCTCTTGAGACCAGTGATTCAGAAAGCCATATGGGATTTCCAAGCATGACATACAACAATTGTTCCTTGAAAAATTTGACAGTTTTCTGTGTGCACTTGTGTTCTTGGCAGTTATTTATTTTTGGACTCTATAGTAAGGAATGTGAAGCCAGATATAGGAAGGAAAGCATGATTTTTTCCACCTGCCCCTCCCAAATACGGATATCTCTGAAAAATCAAAGGACTTGGCATGGACTTGCCAATCAGCTGAGAGGTATATTTCCATGTACAGAAGATTGGGAGATTTGACATAGCTCAGTCCTTTGAGATATCTTTCCAACTCCTGTTGTCTCATTTTAGTAACTTAAATGTCTTTTTGACTATGCTAAAATAAAATAAAAAAAAATAGTATCCTACAATGTTTCAGTCATATAATAATACTTGATTTCATTCTGAGGCTACATCTACAATGCAACTGGGGATGCAATTTGGGGCTCATTGAGAAGTACATATGGTAGTTTTAATCTAGCTAGCTCACTAAAAATAACAGTGAGGACATGGCTTCGGCACAGGCCGTACAAACTTATCTAGCCTGCATCAGCTATGTACTCATGTTGCTAGCTCGCACTGAAGCCTGTGCCGCCATGTCCTCACTGCTATTTTTAGCAAGCTAGCTATACTAAAGCTAGAGCAGGTACGTTTAAACAAGCTGCAAGTTACACCCTTGGTTGCAAGGTAGATTTAACCTGAATTTTTCTTCCACCAGAAGAGCAGTTTAGATTTGTGGTTGGCCGGGCATATGCATCCATAGAGAGGTAGGAGGAAAATTGTCTTAATGGATCTGGATTGCCATTCATTTCAGATCAAACCTTTACAAAAATATTGCTGTTTCAAAGTTCTGTGTAGTCAGGGCTGTATCTGCTCTTGCCACACATTTAGGATGACACACGCACACACAACATTTAGCAGCACCACATTTACCTTGTTTATGCCCTACATCCTGCATTCTTTTGTCCAGTGGTGCACTATGACTGACGAAAGTAGCTGATTAAATTGCTCGATAGGACAGCGAAATTTGCAGCCTGGCAGAGTGAGCGGGTGGGGATCTTTCAAAGAGTGATTCCGATAGTACATTTCAATGGTGTGTTGCCTGAGTTCAGCACACAAATAAAAGTAAAATTAGGTACGCCTTCTTTGAAGTTGCAGTGTTTGGACCCTATTAAATGCAGTTACACCAAGGACAAGTTTGACACACTTTGTCTAACTCTTTATAAAAAGTGCCAAATGGAATGAATTATTAAGAGAAACAGTGCTTTATTATAAGAGACAGGAACTTGCAGTCCATGTGCCCTCCTGTTAGTAAGGGTGTCACGGGTAGCCTGGAGGGGTGTATTTCACCATTTTAACAAGGTCTAAATGAAATATTGATACATAAATGTCTGTAAAACATTATGGATCAACTTCACCTGTGCTGTAACACAGCATGAGTCAATTTTGTCCTATACTCTAACATTTAAATCTGCCTTTGTATGTAGATATTGAGAATCAAAAGGATTTACTGGCATTAGATCATAGAATCATAGCTATCAGGGTTGGAAGGGACCTCAGGAGGTCATCTAGTCCAACCTCCTGCTCAAAGCAGGACCAATCCCCAACTAAATCATCCCAGCCAGGGCTTTGTCAAGCCTGACCTTAAAAACCTCTAAGGAAGGAGATTCTACCACCTCCCGAGGTAACCCATCATCTAAGCTATTTTCCTGCGCTGACATGACCAGCTTTCCTGTACATTCTCAAGGTGTTTTGTCCAGTCTAATTTTAACAACTTATTTTGAAACTTCACCATCTTTCCTTGGAAGATTTGTATGTTCTCTACTTGACCTTATTGTTAGGGCATTTTTCATGGGGGTGGGATTTTCAAAAGGACCCAAGGGAGTTAGATGCCCAACTCCTTATGCTTCTAAGTCCTGTTAGATGCATTTGACAATCCCACCTGGTGTCCAGCCATTTTGTATGGCATTTAGTATCCCTGAACTAGCACTAGTCATGGTCTGGAAAAAGCTGTTCCTTCAGCCTGAGGCACCAGAATTGTGTGATTTCACAGTGAAAAGAGTGTTGTGAGCCAGGGGAGGGTGTTATGTTGCTCTGCTCCACAAGGGTTCCCTGTGTCCCCAGCATGGAGGGGGAATTTGGGAGCTGAAGGGACCTGGGGATCCTCAACTCTACAGATCCACTCTCAATGGAGAGTCAGAGGACTGAGTAGCAGTAGGAGCTGAGTAAAACCTCTCACCACTGGAGGTGGTCCTAGAGCAGGGTTGAAACTCACTGGTGGGGAAGCTTATACTGTAGGGAGAGACTTCAGGCTCCAGGGCTGTGAACCTGGTGCCTTTCACAAGCACTAAAGTCACTCAGATTATAATAATTAAGCTAATTGGTCCCTATTATTATTTAAGGCCCAATGTGTCCAGGCAGCTCAATTTTGGCCATCAAAACCAGTTTTATTTATAAAATACTTTGGGGCTTCAGTAAATTGGTTTTTAAAAAGTACATTTCAGGAACACAGCTTTATCCAGATACTTACCCATCCTTTTCCTGGTAAAGTTCAAAAAAATGGCAGGCACTGTATGGAGGGAGTTTTCCATTGAAAACATTGAGTGCCATCTGTAAGGCAACAATGGTAGCAGCATGCTGTAAACAGAAGAATCACTCCCATTAAAGAGTTCCTGAGAATGATGTGATCATTACTGAGCAAACATTTGATAATTTCTCCACCAGTTCAGCTTCACAGTTCACTTTACTTGCACAACTCTGTGAATAGGTACTTGGCCTCTGATCTCTGTATCCTTGATTATTCTTATTTTAAGATAGCTTTGAAAAAAGTTAGCTTTTTTCCAGAAATAAATACATCTCTCCTGGAGCGGAGATACCTATGTGATAAAATGCATCTATATCAGCCTTCCAGGACTACTACTCATATTCCAAATCTCAGAGCAGGTTCAAACAGTTGCCATTAAAAATAACAATAACAACCGGCCACATAAACTTTTCCTTCTTTTTCATCCCAAATATATATTAATTTGCCCAGAATCATGCTGTCCTGAGGTCCAGGACTGGCAATTATCAGTTCCAATCCAATGGTAGACTTAGGCCTAAATTTTAAAAGTGGCCTTCAATTTTGAGTACCTCAGTTGTTAGGCCAAACGCTTTCAAATGTGCCCTCTAATTCTGAATGTTCAACCTGAGACATCTTGCATCAGAAGACCTGAGCACTTGCAACTCTAGTGAAAGTGAATGGGAGTTGGGAGTATTCTGGTCTTCTTACAATTGGGCTCAAGCTTTCTCCAGTTGGGCATCTAGAATTAGAGGTCAGATTTGAAAGAATTTGGTCCTAAGGTCCAACATCTGACAACCTAACTGGGCTATAAATAGTTTTTGCCATCAGTAATCCAGGACTCTCCCTGTTCACTGGGAGAAGGTGCATGTTCCGTGCAAAAATAGAAAACCTCAGTATCTAAGACAGCCAGTCCAACACCTTTTAAAATCACTACATTTAATTTTTAAAAAAGCAGCAGTAGGCTGATTTCTAGATCAAGGAAGTCCTTTTGGATCAGTGCAAGACCTTGGACAAGCCTTTTGATTTCTTTACTAAACAATCAAAACAGCTTAAGAATGAAGTAAGCCACTAGGCTGGACTGGGAAATGCGATGCTGTATGTACCTGAGCTAAATTTTCCTAAGTAAATCATTATGAAATGGTTAAAGCTAGCCACAGAAGAAAGAAAACCCAGTGTAACTGTTGTTAGATGCAGGAAATGAAGTCCCATGTCTTTTACTATAGTTGACAACTTCAAAAATCCAACATAAAAGAAAAAAAATTACTCACTCCAGAATAGATAATTATCTTTCGCTGGTTGGAAGGCTTTCTGGCAGTCGAGAGATGTTTCAGAATATCTTTTAAAAGAACACCTAGAAGAAAATAGGGCAATAGTGACAATAATGGTATAGGGAACTTGTGCTGATATTCTTAACACGAGGAAGTGCTTAAACACATGGTAGATTAGTTAACATGGGTTAATAGCTACTTTTTGAAATGTTCTGATGCATCTGACCCAATCTTTTTATAAATAATGGGCCTGATTGTGTTCCCACATGCACCAATTTTAGGGCCAGATTCATTGGTAGATCCTAGTGGCTGAAAGCAGCCATAAACTGGTTTAACTGGTTGGTTCACAAGAGTAGTGCAAAGAAGCCAGAGTGTACTGGTGAGTCTGGCCCTCTCTTTAGTGTAACTCCATTGTAACTTCCTGATTTCCATGGGTGCAAATAAGAATAGATGGTGATCACCTTGTAATATATGTGTATATAGCAGCTTCCATAGTTCTAAATATGGTATGAATTCCAATGTTGACTGTACACCCTTTCCACTCTGTTTTCCCATCACACTCTCACCCCATTTAGAATTAAGTATTTTTGCTTACCTCCCTGGAGTCGGGACTTCTGTTTTTGTTTGTGGAGCCCAAATTCTGCTCGTAGCAGCAGTTCTGTGAGCTTTAGAAGCTTAGTCCTGACACCATGAGTGGCCCATGATGGTAAAGTGTAATTGTTGATCTCCTACAGCAAAGAAAGAAAACAATGATTTTCTCACTGATTTCTACCAGATTGTGTTGCTTCCTTTTGTATTGTTGCCAACAGCAATGCTGTGGTACATTCAGATACAAATCCTGAATGTTTGACCAAATTAAAGATTTCTCTTTATTTTATATTAAACTAAGGACCAGACGCTGCACTTGGGTGGTGGTGGAACTCTCATTTATATCAATATATTGCTCAAAGACAGCAACTTTTAAAGGGTAAGAAGAGATGACAGTATTCATGAAGACTAGGAGGTGGCGCAGCACTAATAGGGAGGGATAATACAAAAATGGCTGCATTTATAGTAGGATGATCATCATCAAAAATTATTAAGGATGAATCTTGTGTCTTAGTGAAAATTTTCTATTGTCAGCAAGTTCCTGGGCCACATCCAGAAACCCCTATTCAAGCAAAACTTACATGGCAGTCAAGACTTTTTGGCTTGGCAGCTCTGAGAAATCAGTAAGCCAGAGAATGGCTCAAACTGCCACATTTATATCTGGATTTGGAACAACCTAACATCTGGTGAGGGTTGGGGAGTTCTGGCCCATTTTACACCAACTCTTACAGATGTTGCCTCAGTCCCCAAAACAAAGTAGAATGAGGCTATGTTTGCCTCTGGGGCTGAAGTCAGATATGTTAAAGGCTACCACTGTGAAGAGGTAGGAAATGCACACAATGCTCCAGATTTGTACTGAACTGAATTCCTGTTTAACAAAACCAGTCTATTTTGTCATAACATAGTGTATCCTTATCAAAGTGTGACAATTGAAGTGAGCTAAACAGTGGGAGCATTCTCAGAACTACCTGCTTCCATACTACCTGTTATGTCCTGACAAGGACTTGCTAATTATTGACAGGATTTGTTTAAACAGGGGAAACAATGGATCATGTCAGGTTAAATCAGCTCAGGTCACAATGTATTATTTCTTTCTTTAACAAACGTGATTTGTTTAGAAAGAAGAGGATATGCTAAGTGAATACTGTTTCATAGCATTGCTGCAGGCAAACAAGTGCCTGTGTCTTTGGAGTTACCTAGAAGTCAAATGGCATGTGACCAATAATAAATAATACGGTGAGGTGACTTTACTGTGGCTGCATGAAAACAGCTAACAACAAGACTCTTTTTGCACAGCTGGTAGAGTTGTTGCTTTTGTGGTGGGAGTCCCCGTTGAGCAACATGAAGGACCCATACTCAGAGTCCAACACCGGAAGAAGTACTCTACTAATTAGTTAAATTCTCTCTGGCATAAGGGCCACTGAGACCGACAAGGATGGGCAACCTTGTAAGCTTACCTGATGGAATAAACTCCTGTCTCAGAACACCATGATGTTTGCAATACAGCATTGTGCCCTTGCATTGGCACATCTCTGTCTGGTATGTGGTGATGATTTGCTGCAACATGCTCAAGTTGCAGTTTCCCATTACGTTGACATTTCATGGGTCATTGAACTAATGTAGAGATCTGGGAAATGTCCCATGTGGGATTGCCTTGGCAAAATTGGAACTATCGTGGAAAATTCAAGACAGATGGCAACTTATTGCATAATACAATTGGGCAGTTTGCATCCACAATGTAATCTACTTTAAAACTGCTTTAGTCTTCTAGGTAATATGCCAAACAGGTATTTAAATAAAAGAAAACAAACAAACAAAACAACAACCAACAACATACATTGCGAGACCTTTCAATTTTTGTTTGCTCCTGCACTGGAAGACATAGTCCCTATGTTCAGAATAGCCTCCCAAACCATATTCACCAATAGCCTTCTGCCTCCTTCAAATTACTGCCATAATCCCACTTGTTCAATGAATCTTACAGATGTTTCCATCCACACACTACTCCATTTGCTACTACCTAATTATTACTGTACCTGATTGCACCATTTGACTCTAAAATCTTTGAGGAGGAAGATTATATTTTCTGGGCCAATCCATGTATTTTTACTAGTATAAACGCTGCACATCTTTATGGTTCTGTATAAATAATATGACAAGCAGAGGGTCTAAAAGTTACCTCATCTTTTCCCTTCCAGAACTGTGGTGATAATATGACTGATAGACTTTCTAAATGGTACTTAGGGCAACAAGAAAGTTAACAAAAAAAAAAAAGAGCTATGTTGGCATAGAACTGGATGAAGGATATGTGTGTCACTTATTTGAGGCAACTGGTCTGGTAAGAATCCCTAGCTCTGGACATTCTAAAACACCTATTCCTTGCAAACGTATAGCTTTTTTCTAACCACAAGGAGCAGAGGATGAAGTTTGTACATCAATCCTTCTTGTACTGTAGCATGTCTGAATTGAATCTTAGGGGAATTTTCTTATATACTTTTACCTCACATAGTAAGGTGTCATATATTTTTATAATTCTTTCAGTGTTCAGCCTCTTCAATGGGTATCCTGTGTGAACTGCTAAAAATCTCAGAAACGGCTGGAAGACAAAAACAACAAACATTAAATATGACGAAAGGCTTTTGTTTTGCTCATTTGTGACATTCCTATATAACGCCTTAGTAGTATTTGCAATTGTTATAGGAAGAATAAAGACAGATGCTGTTCCAGTGAACCTACAAGTCAGGGAGAGATGACAACAGGCAAGAGGAAAGGAAGTTTACACACAACATGGTTGAGGTTGCTTGTCCTATAGGATATATACATCACAAGTTCCCCTTCTAAAAATGTTGACTTTTTTTCTTCTTAGATTGTTGTGGGAATGTGGGACACCGTAGAAGGAGAAAAGGATTTTGAGATGGGATCTGAAGGAGCAGAGGGAGGCTGCATAACCTACTGGATCAGGGAGGAGATTGCAGATGTCTGAGGAAACATGGGGAAAAGCACCCAGGCACTTTGTGGGAAAGGGGTAAACAGGACCATGTGGGGAAGCAGAACTAGTTCAAAGTATGTATTGAGCAGGAGAGTGGCAGGAGACAAAAGTGAACAGTAAGCAGAGGCAGAACTGTGTAAAATATGAGTAGATTGAATGTGGTGCCAAGTTGCAGAGCCAGTGAAGAGTCTAAGAAGGGGTGACATGGTCAAAGCAGTGGAAGATGATAGTTTGACAGCAAAGTTTTGGTTAGACTTGAGGGTTAGAAAGTGGAAGTCAGAAAGGCCAGAGAGCAGGAGGTTGCAGTGGAGTTGACAGAAGATTAACCCAGTCACAGTAAGGATTTTGATAGTGGGGATGTGGAGGAAGGGAGAGGCATCTGAGATGTTGTGGTGAAAGAAGTGAAACACTTGAGCAACAACCTGAATGCGAGACATGAAGGGGAGAGAGAGGTGTTTGAGACTGCAGTGAAATGGTGGGAATTTTCTAACATGACAATGAGAAAAAATAGTGAGGAGATTTTTGTGGAGGAGGAGGAGTCATCTGAGCTAGCAGAGGAGCATATGCAGGGAGAGATGTCAGAGGAGGCATTGTGGATATGAGACTGAGCAGAGAGGGAGAGGTTGGTCTGGAGCTGAGTTTTGTTTTGTAGATTTCCACTAATCCAAGTAATAGGTGGAGTTTTGATACATGGTGGCCTTCACTAAAATTGCACCTGTCATTTGGTGTAGATAGGCCAGCCTAGCAGGTTTTACAATTTCATAATCAGTTAGTGGGTATAATCTCCTTCCAATATGTGGTAGTTAGGCCTGTTAATGTTAGTAGGAATGAAATACCTGCGTTAAAAGAAGAATATATGAGTGTGACGTTCTGTACGTCATGGGAACACCCTACATCCCCATGTTCATCGTTATAATATGATTGTGTAGTATCCAATATAAAGTTTGTCATGTCGGGTGTCTTCGAAAGGTTCATGATGTACTGAGCATTGTTGTTATAGTAATATTATAGTAATTGTTGTTGCAGTAATGTTGCAACATTATGAGGCTGAAAATGTGCCCTCATGGCTCAAAGTAAGCCCAGGCAAAAACTCCCCAAGAGCAGAGAGGCAGTTCACACCTCATCAGGGCATGTATGGGACAAACCCAGCCCAGACTCACAGGAACAAAGGACGCTGGCCTAGACAGCAACAAAAGAATCTGTTGGACTCTAGAGTGAGTCACCCCCCTTTGTTTGGTCAGTTTGGGACTGCGATGAGGTAATGCTCACCTGACTCTGAAGTGGGGCAGGGGTCAAAGCCAAGAGGGAAGAAAGGACACGATAAAAGAGAGAGACGTTTGCCATGCTCTTCCTCTCTCTTCCACCTACATCTACAGACACCACATCAAGTGACTGAAGCACTGATCAAAGGGGAGAGCCTGGCTGAAGAACAAGCCAGCCTGTGGTGAGAAGCATGTAAGTTTGTAAGGGCATTGAAAGTGTTAAGATCAGCTTAGAATGTGTTTTGCTTTTATTTCATTTGACCAAATCTGATTTGTTATGCTTTAACTTATAATCACTTAATATCTATCTTTGTAGTTAATAAATCTGTTTGTTTATTCTACCTGAAGCAGTGCGTTTAGTTTGAAGCATGTCAGAGACTCCCCTTGGAATAACAAGCCCGGCAGATATCAATTTCTTTGTTAAATTGACGAACTCATATTGAACTTGCAGCGTCCATTGGGCATAACGGGGCACTGCAAGATGGACGTTCCTAGGGTTGTGTTTGAGACCGGAGATATTGGCTAGTGTCATTCGGTTGCACAATCCAACGAGCAGTTTACATGCTAAAGGCTGTGCGTGAACAGCCCAGGAGTGGGGGGGTTCTCAGAGCAGAACAGGGTAAGGCTGGCTCCCAGAGTCTAGAATTGGAGTGACCTAGCAGATCACCAGTCCAGATAACACCAGAGGGGAACATCACAACAAACTCTCTTGATTTCCATTCTGGTGACCTACCATTGGCTAATTCTGTCATGAGTGACAGTGTGATGGAGTGTACTCCCCAAACTGGCCCTGCAAGAGCTGAATTGGGCCAGGTGGGGCCAGTAAGTTAATTAGGCTGCAAATAGGGAAGTTTTAGGCTGGAGGCAGCTAATTAGAGAGAAGCTCACCTGAGAGGGACATGTGGGGCTTCTACAAAAGACAGGAAATTGGAAGCAGACGGAGCTGCTGGGAAGGTGTTTACAGTTATTCCCTGGGAGAAGGGATATGTGTTTGAGGGATCTGCAGTTATGAGTTTGCCTCAAATTACTCCCTGGGAGGAGGGAGTGAAGAGACTGGCAAACCCAGAGAAGTGGGGAAGGCCAGGAGATATGGAAGCAGCTCAGGGAAAGGCAGAAAGGGGCAGAGGATGCACCTTGGCTGCTGTTTAGAAGGTCCCAGAGTTGGAACCCAGAGTAGAGGGTGGGCCTGGGTTCCCCTGCCTGTCATTGCAGGAGTGGCACTGTGAGGCAGTGAAGTGGAAGACTGCCTGAGACTGCTTGATACATTCTCCTTGGAAGAGCAAACCACAATAGTGACCTAGCCAGACAACTGAGTCAGAAAGCAGATGCTGTGGCTTCTGGAGTGAGACAAGGGTAACCTAGGAGACTGGGTATAACCACAGCCAGGGGCATCAGCCTGACTGAGCTGAACCCCAGAACCACCAGGAGGCATCACTGTCCAGTGGTGAGTCGAACAATCCCTTACAGACAGTTTTTAATTAGACTTTTTCCACAACTGAAAATATGTTGTGTTCTTTACCCTGTAGTGTTTGAAGTGTCTTCGAAATGCCCTTGTTGCAAAGGTTTCTTTCTGAAGTTCGTTGTATCGTGGGCAGTTTGGATAAGGTAAGTGTAGCAACTAAAATAAAAAATACAATGGATTAGTTAGGCAGGGTGTTTCCCATTTGGATATTTAATGTTCTCTCAAGAGACTCCATTTTTCATGTGTGTGCTAGTTGAGCCAAACTGCACCAGGGGTTTTGGTTTGTTTCCCAGTGCCTTTCAGCCAAGGTAAACTATAATAGCCCTGTGGACTCACTTCTGTAATATAACTATTAAACCTTTATTGAAGTCCCTGCTTAAAGACGCTGTGGTTGAAAATTAGAACATAATCAGTCAAGGTGAAATCCGCACCTGTGCAGAAGGCTGTTGCAAGCTCATATACTGCTTAAGCCTTCAAAATAGGGCTTAAATGGTGCCTATGCCTTTTGCTGGCCTTCTGCCCAGGGGTGATTTCTTCCCTGATGTTCAGTCTTAGAGATTTTTGAAAACTTTGTTTACTCTTACCACAAGCTAAAGACTGCTTAGATTATATGGTCTAAGAATGTGTATTTGCATTATCTGAGAATTTTTATTTGAAATTATCGGCATTAAATTTAAATAGTAAAAACCAAAATTACAACTAATTTGCAATGAAGAGGCAAGTATCTTTCCTACTAACATGTGTTTTGCCCTCTCTCACAAAATAATTAATAAAACTGTTTGTAGCCACACAATTAAAACAAAAAGAAAAGGAGTACTTGTGGCACCTTAGAGACTAACAAATTTATTTGAGCATAAGCTTTCATGAGCTACAGCTCACTTCATTGGATGCATTCAGTGGAAAATACAGTGAGGAGATTTATCATGAAGTTGATAGATTTCTACTCCATATGGCTAAATGCAGTGCCTTGAATAATGACAGGTTTCAGAGTAGCAGCCGTGTTAGTCTGTATTCGCAAAAAGAAAAGGAGTACTTGTGGCACAATTAAAACAAGAGATTTAAATAAAACCTTGGAGAATTGAAGAGATCATTAGCCTGGATATATGCACACCTGTATTTCTACTGCTTTAAAAATCTACTTGTTTGAGCCATTTCATCCTGAAATCTAACCATATGTTAATGAAGAGATATGACTTTTCTTGATGTAATTGATGGACACTTTCTTTGAATAGAAAGACACTTCTGGAGTCAAGTCTGCTGTATATTCATAGTAATTTAAAATGTAATAAATAATGAGGGGGGGAATCACATCTACTTTTACATTTTCCTATTCATGAGAATTTTTTTATTAACATAGTTTCTAGTGACTGCAGTACAGTACCTACAATGGGCATCAGACCAGGGCAGTTGTCATAAATATAGAGGGAAGGGTAACCACCTTTCTGTATACAGAACTATAAAATCCATCCTGGCCAGAGGCAAAACCCTTTCACCTGTAAAGGGTTAAGAAGCTAAGATAACCTTGTTGGCACCTGACCAAAATGACCAATGAGGAGACAAGTTACTTCCAGAGCTGGAGTGGGGGGGAACAAAGGGTCGGTCTGTCTGTCTGTGTGTGTGATGCTTTTGCTGGGACCAGGTCAGGAATGCTCTTCAGAACTTCTGTTAAGTTAGTAAGTAATCTAGCTAGAATTGTGTTAGATTTCCTTTTGTTTAAAAGGCTGGTAAATAAGCTGTGCTGAATGGAATGTATATTCCTGTTTTTGTGTCTTTTTGTAACTTAAGGTTTTGCCTAGTGTTTTGAATCTGATTACCCTGTAAGGTATTTACCATCCTGATTTTACAGAGGTGATTCTTTTACTTTTTCTTTAATTAAAATTCTTCTTTTAAGAACCTGATTGCTTTTTCATTGTTCTTAAAATCCAAAGGTTTGGGTCTGTGTTCATCTATGGAAATTGGTGAGGATTTTTATCAAGCCTTCCCCAGGAAAGGGGTTGTAGGGCTTGGGGAGGATATTTTGGGGGGGGGGAGATGTCTCCAAGTGAGCTCTTTCCCTGTTCTTTGTTTAACACGCTTGGTGGTGGCAGCATAGGATTCAAGGACAAGGCAAAGTTTATACCTTGAGGAAGTTTTTAACCTAAGCTGGTAAGAATAAGCTTAGGGGGTCTTTCATGCAGGTCCCCACATCTGTACCCTAGAGTTCAGAGTGGGGAAGGAACCTTGACAGCAGCATTCAGTGGTCAAGCTCAATAAGGGCGACAGAAATGTTTTACAGTAATTTGATTCACTTGTGTATGTTATATGGCCAGGGTATGGCTCTCTAATCACTTGGATAAAAATGTGAGACATTTTGCTGAATTTGATACCAGTGCTCTAGGCCACCTGTCCCCAACCTGTGGGGCGCACCTCCACTGAGAGCTGAAAAATTCCTAGGTGTGTAGGACTCAGTGGGAGTCTAAGAAAGGGAAGGAAGGAACAGCTCACTCTCTTCTCCCTACTCCTCCTGCCTTGCTCCCTTCCTGACATTGCCCATATTTCCCCCTTCCCTGCCCAAGTCCCAGCTCTGGGGCAGGGGAAGCAGCACTTCAAGTGGCTGTGTAGCTGGCTTCAACACATCCCCTTGGAAAAGTGTTCCCCACTTCCCAGAGTGAAGTACTGTGTGGGTCTGGAGGAGAAGAGAGGGAAAGGAGTAGCATGATCTATTTACCTCACAAGCCTCACCCTCAGCAGCACCAACCCCAACTTTTTAAAAACTAACAATTGACAAAATAGCTAAAACATTATCCCACACTCCAAATCTCACTGTGGGATATGGTGAGACATGGGACAATTTTTTTGGCCATTTTGTGGGTCATGGATCAGAAAAGACTTAAAATCACAGCCCTAAAGAATTGTGGGGGAAAAATGTACTTTCCTCCCAGCTTTCAAGTGGAGCAAGCTATTTTTAGTATCTGTGCAAGCCAAGAGAGTGGGTTAATCTGTTACCAGCTCTGAGTTGTGTTCTCATACAGTGTGGGCAAATTCACTTCCTTACATTTTAGACTTAGATCTTTCTATTTTCATTAAGCACAAGGCTGTGTATTGGAATTCTCTTCTTGAGGAATCTCAACATAATGGTGCTGCCCACGCTATCAGTTCTTAGTGTATGATGCCTTAGCTTAGTGTCACTTTCGTCCACTTCCTTCACTCTTTGTCACATATTTTGGCTTTCTGAAGCAGAAAGTCCCCAATTTGTACTCACCTTGTCATGTGACACTGGCACAGTGTGAACTGGGATTGGCTGCCAAAGAATTTTGGGGTTCCAGACCTGATTACCCGCCAGTGGATACAGCCCAGCAAGACTTGCCTGGGCACTCATAAGAGTTGGATCAGCATCTGTGCTTTGAACATAAATCTGGAGCAAGGATAGAAAGAATTATTTCTTAGTGTTCACAAACAGAACCCTGCTCCTGTTAATTGTCTGACTTTTAGTGGGAAAGGAGGGAACTGGAAATGGGAAGGGAGGGTTGGCATCCAAAGGGACTGAGGCCAAAAAGGAAACCTGGGATAGTAAGGAAGAGAGGAAGCAGTGAGTTGGAGCAGGAACAAACATTGGTGGGGATAGTGAGCTGGAATGTAATAGCAGCCCCATTAGAAATTCTAGTGGAAAAAATTCAACTGGCTCTAGTTGGCCAGCTAGCTTTTGGGATGCAGCAATGGATCTGATGAGCTACTGGACCCCCAAATGAAACAGACAAAGATATCAAATAGAGAGCAGCCAAGAGATTCTAATAGTGTCTTATGGAATTTCCAGTTGTGAGGCTCTCATAAGCAGGAGAGAGGTGGACACCCATTGTCAGTGGCTGAGGTCCATGGTAAGGAGGATGTGGGCCTACACAGGAGGGCTTATTGCATCACTGAAGTGATGAAGTATCTGAAGTGAGGCTGCTATTAGTGAGGTCCTAAGGCAATGATCTCTGTGTTCATTGGAATCCAAATACAACACCGATATTTTTCAGGCGTTTTCAGGCTTACCCAAACACCACAACTTTCTGTGTAAATTGATTTCTTGCCAAACCTGATATACAGCTGAAGTGAAGATCTATTTGCACTAACTCTTCAGTTATCTTTCTATAATGAGTCAATTTGAACAAAATTTTGGGCCACAACCTCAGGGAGTCTGAGAACCCTCAACTGCTGTTGACTTCAGTGTAAGTTACCAGGCAGGATCAGACCCCTCATATCTTAAGGAAGTCCCATTAGTATGTAGAAAAAGTCCTTCATGCTAATTCTGATACTTGCCTCAAACTGGTTATATACGGTACTCAGGAAATGTTTATATCTCTTCCGCATGTATTGCCCAAGCTTATATTGCCGCTGTATTCCAAGCTGTGGAAGCAACAATATTGATGAGTGCCAATGTAAGGTAGCTGTGGATGAGTAATTCAGGTTTAGCTGATTTTTAAAAAGAGGAGGGAGCAGTAGATAAAATAATTGCTATAGGTTATTTTCCTTCTTTTTGATCTGTCCTCACAGGATGCCCTGGGATATTTTTAAAATAAAACCAAGAAAACCCACCCGAAAACACCACATCTGATTGCTTTATGTGCAAGAACCTTAGCTAGGCACTCATGCTTCCCCTACTCATGTCTCTTTCTATCTGATTTATTTTAAATCTTTATCTATTAGGTATCTCAACATTTATGCTGCATAGAATCTGAGCTGTCCAAGAGAAGCAACATTTCCCGCATATACGGTAATATATAATGAAATGCAGTACATCTATAGTCATACAGTTTGAAGATGCATAGTCATAAGCACAAAAATCAGGAAATGCAACAGTTTTTAACCTCAGCATGGTATTATACATTTTAATAATAATAATAATAGTGGATGAAAGCAGCTAAATAAATCCATTATTATTTCATTTATTATTACTACCTTGGGTCTGCTAACCAGGCAACTCACATGAGTAAACACTATTCACATCCTAATTAAGAAAATACCTTAAAATATTTTTATAAGGGGGGTGGGCATGTAGGAAGGGGGGAAATCCTGCAAAGTGGCTGTGTTAACATTGATGTTACAGCCTTAGCTTTTGGATTCCCTCACTCTGACTGTAATTGTGAAACATTAGAGTTGCATGAACATAGTCCTTTCAACATTTAATTTTGTTGCCATTTAAAAAATGGGCGGGGGGTTGTTTGGGATTAAGCTACATTGTGTACAAATACAATTTACATCATTGTAGTTAGCCTTTGAAATTTATATCTTATTGAACTGAGCAGGATGGGGTAGGGACGAGTTCCCATATTTCTTGTTTAGTTAGATGCAGTTTTCTGTAAATTGGATTAAAAAGGCAGCAGTGCATCTGTTTGTATTGTGATGTTTGCATTGTCATAATAGACAAAGATAGAAATTCAAGACCTGATCCTGGAAGGTGCTGAGCACCTGGACACCTGTTCAATGAATGGAGGTAGAGTGCTGACTTTGTTTCAGATGAAATATTAGCATCTGTAGATACCATCTGCACGAAAGACTGTACTGCAAATGTGACCCCAACTTTCATAGATTTTAAGGGCAGAAGGCACCATTATGATCCAGTCTGACCTGTATAACACAGGCCATAGAATTTCATCCCATGGTTTTGAATTAAGTGCACATCTTTTGGCTGAGCTAAAGCATCTGTTTTAAGAAGACATGCACTCCTGATTTAAGACTTCAGGTGAAGAAGAATCTGTCACATCTGTATGTAAGATAGCCCAATGGTTTATTACCCTCACTATAAACAACTCACTCCTTATTTCTTGTCTGAATTTGTCTAGCATCAGTTTCCAACCACTGGGTCTTGTTATGCTTTTGTCTCCTAGATTAAAGAGCTCCATGCCATCAGAAATGTTCTCCTTTGATCAAGGCACTTCTTAACATCCTCTTTGTTAAGCTAACTAGTCTGAGCTTTTTTAGGTTGTCACTGGAAGGCATTTTTTTCAGATGTTGAGTCATTCTTGTAGCTCTTTTCTGAACCCCAGCAAATTTATCAACAGCCTTTTAAAATATGGATACCAGAACTGCGCACATGATTCCAGTAATGGTCTCACTAATGCTATATACAATGTTAATACCACCTCCCTATTTCTACTTAATATTCCCTTGCGTATATATTCAAGGATTGCATTTGCTCTCTTACTACTGAATCAAACCGGAAGCTTGTGTTCAGTTGGTTATTCACCATGACCTCTAAGTCCTTTTCGGAGTCATTGCTTGCCAAAATACAGTTCCACCACCTTTCAAACTTTAGCATGTGAAAGACAATTTCTGTTTCAATATGGGCCCCTGTAAAGCCAACAAACCTTAGTAAGTTGTCCAAATCCCTGTGGCCATGCATTTTCCTTGTGTTTATCAGTTGGAAAAGATTCACATGGGGTATAATCACTATGGCGAAACACCTGACAAAATAGATTGAATTCCATTCAACATAATTGTTTCTTTTTTATTAGAAAAAAATATTGCAATTCCATTAGTGTTTTCATTAATAGTGAGTGCTGTATATACTGTGTACTAATACATCTATCATGTGTTTATTGTCTATAATATCTATTAATAATAAATAATTATTTGTATTACAATTGTGCCTAGAAGCCCTAGTCACAGACCTACAGTAACTTATTTTTTTTAGATTGTGAACTTTACACGGCATAGTGACTCTATTCCTCTGCATTTGAAAAGTAGCTAGCTCAGGGTTTCATTTGCAATCTGTATAAGTTGTATAATAGTCTTGTATATCATATGCCAGATCTATTTTGGAGAGGTCAGGATAACATAGGAGGAATAGTTCACACTACATTAAGCAGGCAGGACAATCCGTGTGAAAAAACTACCAGTCAAATTTTTCTTGATAAAAGTTCCTCTCAGACAGTAGTGTGTAGGCAGGAAGATATCAAATATTGCAAGTATCATAATCTAAACTCAGGGAAGATAGTTGTGAAAACTCTGACTCTATCCTGAAGTCCCTTTTCATTCCATTCCATGTTATAATCCTGTATAATTCACTTGACTACACATACCTATTAGTTACATGACTTTAAAACTAAGTATTACACAATTAATTCTTTCCCTGAATCATCAAAGTAGAAATAAAATAAAATTTAAGATTACATCTAAAAAAAAGTGTAAGTGATTTAAATGCATGTGCTATGTCCACCATAGGCCATATTCAGACCTCCTGTAACCAGGGCAACTTGCAAATCAACGCAAGTTGTGCCAACTTGCAGCAGGAGTGCATCTGGACTGTTTGTTTGTTTATTCATTCAATGCAGCACACATCTGTTTTTGATTACACATAAGGGAGACATTGCTTTCCCTTGAGAGCAATAAATTAGTTCCAAGGCAAAGAGGAATTCTCCACTAAGTGAACACTAGTTATGGCATCTCATCTATTTCACAACTTCAAAAGAGGCATTCTGCAATGATCATTTAATGTCACAAATAAGGCGCTTGCTTCAGTATCACCTGAGATTGCAAAAAGGAAGCAAAGTTACAAACTGTTCTTTAAAATTTGGGACTTTGTTTATTTTTCTATGGGAAGCGATAAAACAGCTTGACTATTCAAGAAATATTTAAATGTCTACAAAACATTTGACCCCCTCCCCCTCACTGGGAAACACTTTCTAACACAAGAAGAACAATAAACCGCAGGTGCTGTAAAAAATTCCTTCCATTCACATAGTGAAATTAACACTGCCATATACTTACTACAGACACAAACTTCAGTTTTCTTTTCGCTGTGGTTTGGTGAAGCAAAATCAAGAAAAGACTAAACAAGAAGCATAAACTCCAGACTCCACATAGCAGCTGTCTCACTCTCATCCTTGCAATAGCTTAAGAATGTTTTGTACACCAAGTGCTTGGGCTGGACAGAGCCCTACTGCAGATTTGACACACAGTTAGATGAATAAGAGGGGAGGAGTCAGTCTTATGCATTATGAATTCTAGAAATGGGCCATAGTCCTGCCTCCTGCTCATCTTATTCCCCTTTTGGGTTACTTGCATGCCAGGGGACTTGTGAAGGGAGCAGGGCACTCTGGTGCTATCCAGGATGCACGTGATAGAGAGGCTCCTCGGGCCCCATGCACCCTGACAGTGCAGCTGGATACAAGCTGCCCATGAGTGCTTACGCTGTTTAAACTAAAGCCTAGTAACACCATCATAGATCTGTTTGAGTGTTGCATCTTTATAAATGAAAACATTGCAAGTATGCTGGTGTGGTTTTAATATGCCATATACAAAAGTCTCTCCCAAGATAACTGCCAACGGCTGAGAAGCAAACACATTTTGTCTCAGTACTTTGTATGGGAACGTATACAGCAACAGTGGTGGCAATAGGCAGTCTTCCATTATTGGATCCCTTTGGGCATTTCTAGATTTGGCTGTGGGGTTTAGGAGAAATAAAACAGGTGTTTTTATTTATTAGCTCTAAATTAACTGGCAAGAATAAAAATGTGTCCAACAACTTCCCATCTCACTCAATGGATTGATAATCTCTCCGGTGGTAATGGTTACTAATTTCCTCTAAAGAACTTTCCCCTAACATGCCATAATTCTTGGTAAATCTTTCTCTGCTTGTTAACTTTTCTTGCAGCAGATGTACTTAATGCCGCAACATATGTAAGTCAGAAGATATTTCTTTAATCATCCTGCTATTTGTTAAATTTAAAGAAAAAGTATCTGGTTCACAATCAGGGTCAGCTGAGACACCATGGATCTGATCAATTTATTGGTCTTCCTCTGGTGCAATTACATCTTTGTGTCAGTGACTTTTGATCTTGCTAAATTTTAACACTTAAGTCTTGACATTTAATCAGTTAACAATTTGTCCTCCTTACATTATATAATACCTGTCTTCATAAGTAAGTTAAGACCTGTTTAATACGTAAAAATTGGGAGCAATTTGTTGGTGACAAAAAATTGCCAACAAATAGTAGCGTTAAGGAAAATAGCTGACAAAATGTCATAGATGTCAGGCTGAAGCCTAAAACAAGTGTATACAATTCACAGGATATAGTTTAAAGCAAGAATTAATAAAAACTGCCTTAATTACCAGATCTGCAGTTTGCTCACTTCTAATGCCTGGAATAAAAACATTCACATTGTGCACATTCATCAGAACTGAAGAGATGCCTCTCAGAAGCATTCAGATGGCAGGGGAAAAAATCCTCTTGCAAGATGGTTTTTCTACTGTTTCTGCTTTTGTGAGCACTTGAGCCCAGTAACGGAACAACATCCAGAGCTGCCTCAGTCTGTTGAGAGGAAGACTTCTTTTTTTAAATGGTAGACACTGGCACAGCAGGGTCAACTGCTGCAAGGCATCGATGCTCTATATAACTTGCCCTCTCCAGTGGCAGGCATGCTTCATACATTTTCTTTGAGGAAAATGTGCTATCTTCCATTTCCAAGGGACACAATAAATACATCATATACACATAAGAATGGCCACACTGGGCCACACAGACCAAAGGTCCATCCAGCCCAGCATCCTGTCCTCTGACAGTGGCTAGTGCTAAGTGCCCCAGAGGGACTGAACAGAACAGGCATTCATCAAGTGATCCATTCTCAGTCGCTCATTCCCAGGTTCTGGCAAACCTACACCTACTCTGTGTAGATCTAGCTGGAAAAACATATCCGTACCAAGAGTGACAGTCCTCAAATGTTATTTTATTCCAAGCACTCTCTATCTCCCACTTTATTCTAGGACTATAGCAATAGGACTGAAAATATTCTGGCTGTAGGCCACAAAATGGCATTGTCATAGCTAACATTATTTTCTGTTTTGTCTTATGTATTTATGTTGCAAGCACTAATAAGAGAGAGGCTCTAAGGGAGGAATTTTCAAAACGTGTTCACCTAATGCTGCTCCGGTTGAAGGTAGCCGAGTTAGGAGAACGCAAAGTCCTTTTGAAAATCCCACCCTACCCATGTAGGTGCCTTTCTTCCCTTGTGGGGGCATTCTCCCTCATCAGTTATGTTCCACAGAAACTATGAAGTCATCAACACGCAGGATGAATCTCCTGAGAGCAGTGCTTTCTTGGCAGCCAGAACCTCTTGGCAACCTCGGAAACTCCCTTTTGATTTTAATGAGAATCATCAAAATTTAACCCCATTCAGAGAAAAATGTCAAATTTGCTTCTTCAATTCAGTTTGCACACAGCCTCAGCCAAAGCAACTGACAAGAGGAGAAGACGACCAAAAAACCCCCAAACAAATAAATGACATGACTCCCTTGGGCAAGTAGGAAGAAAATTAGATCATGTGATATCAGATTGTGATAAACTTGGTAGGATGCTTATGAGCATGGTATAAATACTTAGATAAAGGTATACCTCTAGAGCATATGCCATGTGGTGGTATCTTAAAAAAAAACCTCACAGGATATATTTATAATTTGTATTATCATAGTGCCTAGGAGCCCTTGTTGTGGGCCAGGACCCCATGCTCCTAGGTGCTGTACAGACACCGAACAAAAAGACAGTCCCTGTCCCAAAGAGCATACAGTATAAGTATCAGACAACAGATGGGTACAGACAGGCCTGACAGGGGAGGAGAAGGAAACAATGAGACAATATTGGTCAGCTGGATCTTTGCAGTAGCATCTAGGAAACTTAGGGTTTGTTTAGTATTCAGAGTGCACATGCCTAAAAGTGACACTATTGTGTCACTGCACATTTTTTAAATTCAAAAGGACAAATTGGATCAAATTGTGCCATGAATGACACTGGTTACAGTATTAGAGGGGAGCTAACCTTCACACAGTCTTAGCTAACGCTTTCTAAAACATACTATATGATCAGCTTCACCCCTGGAGGTGTAACTTCTTTCCCTTTGTGACGTTATACAAGGGATGAATTTGACCTAGTCAAAGTTACACTGGTAACTCTCTCACACACCTATGAAAGAATAGACTCCTTCATGAGGCTATATCCTTCTCATCCAAGCTGTTTTGCTCTCGTATCATGGGGAGTGGAGAGAAGAAGAGCGAGTGTCAGTTCAACTAACCTTTCCAGTTGAAGTAATCAACTAATTGCAGTAAAAACATTCTGCAATATTTATATAGTTGGGCGTCGCTGAATCTGATAAAGGCTGGTGCTTACATTAGGTTTCTTCATCTATTTTTGTCAGGAGAAAAACAATAGCATAGCTTGTCATAATGCCCATGTCACAGTGACACATTGTCCCCCATCTCAACAAAAATGGATTCTGCGCAAGCCAATGTACTGTTTTTATTAAAGATTTTTACACTGGCATATATTTTTCAACCCTTTTCAGTACAGAGTTAAAGTATGATAAATAGATTTAAACTTTTCCTTGTAACATAAATCGGCAACTATTAAAAGTGCTTTTGTATATAGTGGGTTAGACTATACTCTGTTTAACTTCTATGTCTAACTTTAAACCAGTTTATGTACTTACTCCAGATTTATCTATCATAAGGTTTGCATAGAATCCATCACTGCAGCTAATTGTTACACAGGTGAATTAGATCCATGATCTGAAGGCCATTGTGCAATTCCTAGAACTTTCTGCTCATGTCCCTTTCCTGGATATAGGGAGCTGTGTGTGGGATATGTATAAATATAGTGCTAGGTCCTCATTTGATGTAGGATGGCAGAGCTCCATTAACTTTGACGGAGCTACATCCATTTACAGCAGTTGAAGATCACCTCTTACTCATGAGCACAGCTGACGTGGGTGGGGGTTGGGCATAGACTGAGATGTAGTTGCTCATGTAGCTAGTCCATTACTGATTTATGACTGTAAAATCAGGATCAAGGTCTTGAATTGGTAATGGAAGCAGAATGGTGGCCAATAGAGGTATCACACACAATGGGGGGTAGTCACTGTGGCTTTGGTTCATAGAGGAGGCAGACTGATGAATTCTGCATAATATGGAGCCCCTCCACTGCTTGCATCTTCAGCCCCAAATACCGCAAGTTCCAGTAACCTTATCTGGAGTGTGGATTACAGAACCAGATTACCGTGTAGGAGGAAGGAATTAGAGCCAGAGTTTAAGGGCAGCGAGGACCCACAGATCATCTAGTCTGAACTCTTGTGTTTCATCAGTCACCAGCACCAGGTAGCACCCCGCCCTAAACCCAGCAACTAAAATTAGACAGAAGTATAACAGCCCACAGGGGACTATGTGCCACAGGCAGAGAGTAGGAGGGACAAAGGTGTACCAATGCCTGAGGCCCCTGCAATGGTATGAAAATAATTAAGTGAGAAATAACCAGATGATCCTGGCAAATGACTGTCAGCCCAAGATGCAGAGGAAGGAGAAACCCCTCCAAGGTCACTGCCAATCTGATACTGAGGGAAAATTCCTCCCCTGTCCCACCTATGGTGATCAGTTAGATCCTGACATGTGAGCAAGAATTACCCAGCTAAACACATGAGGGAGTGAATGCTCAGTGTCACCTCAGAGCCCTGTCCTATCCTGTCACCCTCCCGTCCCAAGTCCTATCTCCTTTAAAGGGAAAACAATGGCATAGTATGTCAAAATGCCCATGTCATAGTGACACATCGTCATCCATGCCAACCAATATGATTATATGCTTTATATAGGTGCTATTTCCCTAGCAAACCTGATGTGGAAGAAGAGTATTTTCACCCTTTGCTCTCCCTGATCATTTAGACTTATTGATGAGTTGTGCAGGTCTCTGAGACTTCACATGATTTTGACAAAGAGGGCCAGATACCTTTGATGTAAGAGGAGGACAACATTTCTTCCATCCAACCATCATCACAGCAGTCTGTCTCAGGTTTAAGCCAGCAGTTTTTCCTCCAGGTGCTAGCATACAGGAGCCTCGAAACGATTTGTGTGTGTAGTCAGGCATCC